AATAAAAATAAAAATAAAAAGCAAAGTCTTTAAGAAAGAACTCATAATTTCTCAAACCACATTACTACCATTAAATTCTCATCTCCTCTATGGTCCTATCAAAACTCGTTCTTGTTTGCTAACTAAACAATTTAGATGATCATTGGAAAAATTCAATTTTTCAACCCAATTTATCATCCAGATAACTCTGAACAAAACGTCTTCCTACAACCCTTCGTTTGCTCCAATTATGCAAAATAGGTAGTGAAACTCATTGCTTTATTTAATTTATGAAACAATAGAGAAGAGAGAACAAAAATGTCAGTAGTTTGCTTTAATGGTCCATTTGTTTTTAGAGATAGATTGGGTAGGATTGTTAGTGAGAGGATTATTAATGAGGAGACTGTTAGTGGGGAGATTAAGAAAAATTGTGTTTGTTTGATAACTAGTAAACTGGCAATAATTCCTGTTTATTTTAAGAGATAGGAGTGGAGTGCCTCTATTTACACACCATCTTTCATCTCAAGGCATACACACTACTCAAGACACACTTTTAGTAATTTGATAAATAAGAAATTTGCTTAATACACACTACAATCTTTGATCTTTACCCTTACTTACTTATACACCCCACTCACAATCTTCAATCTTCCATATTCTATACCTCCACTTCAAAAACACACACAACGTCCCCCTGCATTCTTTATTTCATTGTCATCCTAGAGGTTTGGGAACCAGTCTAAACCGGTCTCTATTCGTGCTGAAGACAACTTCACTCCATTCTCTTCTGGTTCACGACCCCCTTCAGCACAGTTCTGGAAAAACCAGAAAAAAATTTGTTACCCCTCCAGCACAGTTATGGAAAAACCAAAATTTTTTTTGTTATAAGTGTTCGAAAATACAGAGTTGAGCTAAATTCAAAAGTTCGACTGTTGAAAACCGAACAAATGTTATAAGTTCAAAACTTATTAACCGAACATGTGGACTATGTTCGACACTAGAAAATTGAACAATTAGAACTTATTCGGTTGTAGATAGTTGAACATGAATACATTGTTTGAATTTGGGTATCCGAATGAATACAAACGGTTTATCACTTAGCAAGTACACGAAAACGAAAAATAAATAAATAAAATTGAAAAACTAACCTTTTCGGAAAAAAAAAACAGATGCATCCATCATTCATTCCAATCAAAATCTTCAATAATATGTATATTTTTGGTTGTTTCTTTAAAGGTTTTTGGTTTTTGTTTAAGGATTTTTGGGTTTTTAAGAAAGAAGATACGTAAGTAACGTTTCAGAAGAAAGGTTTGTATTGTATTCATTATTGTCCTTTATGGTAATTTTACATAAGGTGTGTATCATAGCCCTTTGCTTTGTGGTCATTTTACATTAGGTTAATATTGTAATAAAAAATAAACTAATAAATGGTGTGTCTTGAGATGAAAAGTGGTGTGTAAATAAAGGCACCCGATAGGAGTGGGATTAACTAGTAAAACTTCATAAATACCCATGTTATATTATTATCAAATTTGGAAATTGTTAGTGAATGGATTATGAAAAATTGTGTTTATTTGTGATACATTTTAATATTAAAAATTATGTTTTATAAAAATATTATTATATTAAAAGGACGGAGGAAGTAATAATTAGAGAACCAAAAGAAAACAAATTAGCCTAGTCCATGGTTTTAAACAATGTATTGAAAGATTTTATTCACTAAATATTGGTTCATTCATCATCATCTTTGCCTTCTCTGTTAAAAAACAAAAGCAGAGCTTTGCCTTCATCCATCAGCACCGCAACGACGACGATGACACCGATCTTCACTGTCAACGACGACGACGATGATAGCGCAACGACGCCGATCATCACCATCATTCACTGCAACGACGTCGATCATCATTGTCAACGACAACGACGACGACGATCTTCACCGTTGACACGATTTTGTTTTTCTTGCAAATTTCAATTTTGTATATCATATATGTCTTTTGATTTGTATCTCTTTTGTTTGATTTAGTCGAAGATTGGAGCATCACTCTTCAAATTTACTGATCTAATTTGCGATTTTTCTACACTTCTATTAGGTTGGTGAGAAAACCAAATGAAATATGCATATATATATATATATATACAATAAGAGAACAGAGAGAGAGATATATATATATATGATAAGAGAACATAGAGAGAGAGAGAGAGAGAGAGAGAGAGAGAGAGAGAGAAGAGAGTAAACAAGTAAATCACTCCCCTAATACCAAAGGACTAATTTTCAATACCAAGTGTTGGGCCAGACTAACAATCCCAATGTGCAAGGCCATCTAAAGCCCTCTAGCTTATGAATCCATTCCCCAAATCTACAAACAAATAGGAGGCATGTTCACTGCTCATCATTCACGATCCACTCCAGACTGTGAAAGAAGAAAATAAACGGGGCCTAAGGGTGCAACTTATCTCCCTTATAAAATTGTGTTGTTTGGGTTTGCAGGGCACACCATAAGTCACGTTTTGAAAATTTAAACTGTTCAATTTTTGAACCACACCAGATCATCTATTAAAAGAAAATTTGATCCAATAATTGTAATCACATTAATTTATTACATTTATTTTTCAAATAATATTTATCGTTCGTTAAAATCAATGTATTTGAAGTGTTTAAAATACATTTTTTTGTTGAATTTAAAGATTAAAATACTATTTTTCATTATTTTTACCTAATAGAAATGGAGAAATAATTTAGAGTGAAAATAAATAAATAAAAAATTAATATTTAAATTAATAAAATTAAAAATTTGGAATTTATTTTTTTATAAAATTATTTTTTTTAAAAATATTTTCTGTAATTTCTCATAAAATAAAAGAATTTATTTATCACAATTTATTTTTATTTTTATTATTATTATTATTATTATTTTATTTTATTTTATTTCTTAACCAAACCTAATATTATTATAGAGATTATTATTATTATTATTTTATTTAATTTCTTAACCAAACCTAATATTATTATAGAGATTTTTATCATTTTCTCACCAACTTTAACCCCATGCAAACAGAGTCACTTCCCCCGTTGCTTCCCTCGAGCAGCTCTCTGCGTCGTTCCCCACCGCCTCCACTTTTAGAAGCCAAGCATTCATTCAGTGGTCTCAGGTCTCTTCTTCTCTCTGTTAATGGTTTAGGGTTGTTTGATTTTGTTTCTGCTGTTTATGGTTTATGTGTATTAACCCAGTAGATGAGCACCAGCCGTTCATGATTCAGTTGGTTTTCATAGATGCAATTATTACTATACACATTGATCATTGGTTGATATATGTTTTTGTTTTGCTGAATTTTTGGAACAACCCCTCATTCTGGGGATAGTTTTGCCTTGACTTTTATTCAGTTTTGCTGAGTTTTTAGGGGGATCATTTCAATTGAAAGGCACTGAATTTTTCTGATTCTTTGCTTTTCTGTTTGGGGGGTATGAAAGTTAAGTTGTAGGGTCATGTGTGTTTGGAGCCAAGCTGTGCTTTGTTTGCCCTTTTTGCCACCTAAACCAGTTTTCCTAGTGAAATTCAATGCCTAGCTACCTTGGTATTTAGTTCAAAAGGCAAGTAAATAGTTATGCACAATTGTGTATGTGAAATAAGAGTAGTGATATACAAATCGAAAATCTATGCTGAAAGGTTATACTGAATGATTTGGCAGGGTTTTGAGCTATCGTCTCAAAAGAAGGAACTCATGGAGATGTCTTTAATTACCCAAAATAACACTGCCACGTCATTATGGTTACAAAATTCTGTATATAAATTCTGGTGGAATAGCATTTTCCGTGGAATAAACCTGTTCATTTTACTTTTTAACATTAGAGATGAGTTTTGATTTCTGTTGCATTTGTGATTAGCACATTCATATATTTGTGGGATCATTGTTGTTATCATAAATTTTATCCCTTGCGTGTTTTGTAATTTCTTGATTGTAATGTAATAGAAATGTATTGCTTTTATGTAGCATTTTTAACACCTCATTTCCTTCACCTATGATAATACTATAGCGGTTCTCATAATTAGGATAACAAACAAAAAATAAGTCATAGAGCTCAAAAAATGGATTGGAATACAATAGGAAAGAAGCGAGTTTAAGAGTTAGAATTTTGGAATTTTTACCCATGCAGTTGCTGAAAACTCATTTGTTTATTCCTTTTTTTTTTTTTTTGAATTTATACTCTCTCTCTCTCTCTCTATATATATATATGTATAACTTTGTAGTCTTCATATATTCTTGCTTTGTGTTGTTATACAGAAATGGCGCTACAACATATGATTGGGTTCGGACATTTTTTTTTTCTCTTATCCGCTGAAAGAGAAAATTTTTAAAGATTCCCCTTATTCTTCCGTTGCTGCTACCACTACTAATCAGTTTAAGGAAAAAGGGTGGAAAACTGGTGTGCTTTCCTCAAGGATGGACAATTCTACCCGTCAATATCATCACCAAACTTTCTGAAGTCACCTTCCTGAGTGCGCCCCTTTATGTTATAATATCAATTGCTATAAAGATTATTTTAGCTTGCATATTCCTGACGTATATTTCCTGTGAATTGGATTATGAAAGGCAGGCTGGTGGTTTCACATTAAGCAAATTAAGAGCTACTAGAATAGCTGAAAGACTCAAGCCTGATGATGACGGGGGGAAAAGGATGGAGAAGCATCTAGTGGGAGTGATGGGGAGGATGATGATCCCTTACTTATGGATGAGGAACAGAGGCAAGAATGGAGCAGGAAGATTAGAGAAGTGATTGATATGAACCCGGATGTCGAAGAGGAAGTAGACCCTGTCAAGAGGAGGAAGAAGATGCAGAAGCTTTTGGCTGATTATCCACTTGTTGTGGAGGAGGATGATCCTGATTGGCCCGAAGATTCTGATGGGTGGGGTTTCAGCTTGGGTCAATTCCTCTCTCTCTCTATATATATATATATATGTATAACTTTGTAGTCTTCATATATTCTTGCTTTGTGTTGTTATACAGAAATGGCACTACAACATATGATTGGGTTCGGACTTTTTTTTTTCTCTTATCCACTGAAAGAGAAAAATTTTAAAGATTCCCCTTATTCTTCCGTTGCTGCTACCACTACTAATCAGTTTAAGGAAAAAGGGTGGAAAACTGGTGTGCTTTCCTCAAGGATGGACAATTCTACCCGTCAATATCATCACCAAACTTTCTGAAGTCACCTTCCTGAGTGCGCCCCTTTATGTTATAATATCAATTGCTATAAAGATTATTTTAGCTTGCACATTCCTGACGTATATTTCCTGTGAATTTGATTATGAAAGGCAGGCTGGTGGTTTCACATTAAGCAAATTAAGAGCTACTAGAATAGCTGAAAGACTCAAGCCTGATGATGACGGGGGGAAAAGGATGGAGAAGCATCTAGTGGGAGTGATGGGGAGGATGATGATCCCTTACTTATGGATGAGGAACAGAGGCAAGAATGGAGCAGGAAGATTAGAGAAGTGATTGATATGAACCCGGATGTCGAAGAGGAAGTAGACCCTGTCAAGAGGAGGAAGAAGATGCAGAAGCTTTTGGCTGATTATCCACTTGTTGTGGAGGAGGATGATCCTGATTGGCCCGAAGATTCTGATGGGTGGGGTTTCAGCTTGGGTCCATTCTTCGACAAGATTACTATAAAAAATGTCAAGATGGACGATGATGATGAGAATTATGATAGTGAAATGAATTGGTGTGGCAAGATGACAGTTACATTCGTCCAATCAAAGACATCACCACCAGAGAATGGGAAGAGATGGGAAGAGACTGTGTTCAAGGACTTCAGTCCTTTGATTGTCTTTGTGCATAATCAATATAGAAGGTTAGTTTTCAGTGTTTTTTTATTTTTTTTCCAGGCTGCTCCATTTTCCCTCTAATTTCTCATTCCAGTTACTTTTTTTTTTTGCCCTGAACGTCTTGGTTCTGAATTCTGACTGGATAAACATTCATCAGCCATTTGATATAAAGTATGAGTTGTCTTAGCAGTCTTCGGCAACGTTGCTTCATGTTCTTTTTGTTTCCTAGTATGGTTTGTAATTCTCATTTCCATTTGATGCCTGTGCATTGATGGATCTGATTCTCATTTTCCAGATTGGAAGTGATGTGATCTTCTGAAGTTCTAGTTGCTTCTGCAATGCTATGATCTTCTTCTTTTGGTGCCTTATACTGTATCTAATTACAAATTCATGGAGTTTCTCCTGTTAGTCTTGGTGAACCCGTGACTTTTCTATATATTCCTTGGTAACAGCTATCCTTCTTGTGTACCAATTTTCAATTTATGTGATTGATGGCTATCTGGTTTACACATTGAATCTGTGTCCAATCTTCTCATTCTACTTATAGAAGTTCACTTCCAATGGGTCAATGCACATGGATTAATTGGTCTTCTGACCTTTCACACTTTTCTATATTGCTACTTTCGACCACTCAAGTCGAGTGTTCTTTCACAATTTCTTGTATGCTTACAGCAATCACTGTCTAATGAGGGAAAGAAAAATTCTGTTTGTTATCTGATTTCTAAAGGCTTGAGTCAATTAATTGGCGATGTTTATTGATGTTGATTTTCCATGGTGCATTGGAAGCTATCGGAATATTTTTAATGAGATGTCAAACTTTCACGATTGATTTTATAGCAAAAAATGCTAGATTTATTATGGAGTATATTTTTATTATTTAATGAAAACTTATGAATCTCTGCAGACCACTGGAAAATGAAAGGATGCGGGATGAATTGGAGAAAGCTGTAAATATCATATGGAACTGTCGGCTACCATCGCCAAGAGTAAGTAAAGCCATTTACTTATTTGTTATTCTCATCATCCCACCTTTTAACATTTATTTTATTTTCAACTACCAAACAGTGTGTTGCAATAGATGCTGTTGTTGAGCTTGATTTGGTCTTTGCTCTGCAAGTGTCCATCTTCCCAGAGCTTTTCTTCACTAAAGCTGGAAAGATCTTATACTGTGAGAAGGGTAAATTTTCTAGTAAATAAATTATATTCTTGACACAGCCTCAGCCTTGAATCATAATGATTGTATTATATTTGATTTTTTTCCTGGTATTCAGCGATTCAAACAGCAGATGAGTTGTAAAAAATAATGGCATTCTTTTATTACGGAGCAGCCAAACTGCCTAGCTTGAATACCGTTGGAAAGAGTGAAGAACCAATCCCTACCATTTGAATCAACAGCGAATAGTGTCAGAAAGTTGTACATAACTATATATATATGTATGCTATGGTTTAGAGAATGAGGTTCTGGGTTAGCGATGCTGTGTTTACCATGTTGTTCCCCATACAGATCAATGGACACCATGAAAATTTAGCTGATATGTACATTCTAGGGGAGATTTATAACTACATTTCGCAATTGTTTGTTAATTTCAGTTTGAAAACTGAAATTTTTGTTATTTATGAACAAGATGAATAAAGAGTTTCTGTTTTTTTTTTTTTTATTTTCTCCCTCAAATAGTTTGTGTCCTGTTCTTTAATCCTTGATTTGGGTACCAATATAAATACTAGCTTGTTGCATTCATTACACAACCAATTGGTGTATGGAGAGGGCTCACATAAAAGGAAATTTCTCAGGGCCCGTGTATTCCTTGATTTTAGACATTTTCAATATGCTGTGCAGAGTTTCTAGTACCCTTTGAGAGACACAAGGGCTTATGAGTTCATGTTAATTTAGGCATTTGTAGCTTTGAAAATCCAAGAGGGGATTCGTATTTTAGCTACCAACTTGGCATTGGAACATTGGCGGTCGCCCCCCAATGAACACTTCATCAAGTGTGACCTGTGCAAATGTGTTCCACGTGGAGTTCCATACACGGTGACAATTAATTTGTAGAGTTTATGCAAGCTATAATCCACACAACTCATGACACAAGTAAAAAGACTTCAAAAGTAACATTCTCACAAATAATTATCCGCAGAAATTGAATTTCAAATCATCTCAAACAATAAAAGGCACAAAAACCGGTCATATGGCATGCTAGAGCCCCCAACATCCACCGCGATGAACATTATTACACACTGACAAATATGGTCTACATTTAATCTTTATTTTGCAGAAAAGAAACTAACATAGCAGGGTTGGATAACAGAACAATTGACTTGATCCACCTACTATTAGATAATCTCATGCCCATGAACAACCCAAAACCTTCCCACCAACAAAGCATCCGATGCCACAGCCACTTCAATACTAGCAGCAGCCATCGTGACCCAAAGAGCATGGCAGCACCTGCTGTTACAAAAGCAATAACATTACCTCCAATGACACAGAAAAACAAAAGAAAACAAAAACCTATAAAGATGAAACATACCATCTTTGAATCATGGAGGGCTCAATGAGCTCTGAAGTTCTTGGGTGAAGGTACTTGTCACGCTGTCATAGGTAACCACAAATTCATACCATTAGCAGTATAGAAAGTAAACTTTAGACATTTATGGCCTCCTGCTTGTATATGAACTAGCTGAAGGTTAGATATGCTGACCACCATTTTGTAACGATTGTTCTCACAAATTATGTATGTATGCATCATTGATGAAACATAGGTAAGACGATGAGAGCTGTAAAAAAGCTAAAGCAACAGTCGACCATATTGATGTAAAGGAGCTTGGAAGAAGAAAATTTAGCTCAGATTTTGCTATTGTAAGGCCAGGTTTAAAACTGAATAAAGCAACCATTAGATGAATTCTTTTAATTCAAGTAGTTCGGATACACTTGAATGTGAAAATTTTCTTTGGGCAAGCTTTCTTTAAAAAACACAAAAAACAATTCAAAGAAAATATGTAACTATTTTTAACCAATAATTGTGATTGACAATGAAAATTGAAGTTCAATTATGAATCATGCAAAACATGTCAAGCTTGATCAATTTTATGACAAATGTTTGTCATAAGAGGTACTATTCATCACACAAGTCCTGGTGCATGATTACACCCAATGTCTTAGGATAGGTTTATTTCGCCATAAAATATCATGGTTAATACTATTTGAGATATATATCAAGTCTCATTATTTTCATACACATTGAATATTTTTGTTCTCTTTCTCTCTCTACATACACCTATACATATATATTCCTATATATATATATATATATATTATGGTTGAGCAATTGATCAAAATTAAGGCTTGGGGTTATTATTTTTGTTATATTCAATCCTTGTCTTCTTTTATTTTTGAATAAGGATAAAAGACAATTTAGTCCCTAAAGTATGCGATGTTTTTTTTTTAATCCCTTAAGTTTCAATTTTGTTATTTTGGTCCTTAAAATTGTCAATTTAGTCATAGGTCTAATGTCCGTCTACATTGATAACAGGAATATGAATAAAATATAGTTTTGGTCCTTAAAATATTCATTTATTGTCATTCTAGTCCCTCAAGTTTTAAATTTATTCATTTTAGTTATCAAAGTTGTCAATTTGATTATAGCTTAAATTAACAATTTTGAGAACCAAAATGACAAAATTTAAAACTTGATAAACTAATATGATAAGAAATGGATACTTTAGGGACCAAAGTTATCTTTTACCAAAAGATAAAATATTTTTCCAATTATCAATGTAAACAAACGTTAGAGATAGAACTAAATTGACTCAAATTGACAACTTTGAAGATCAAAATGACAAAATTGAAGGTTGAGAGACTAAAACTGTCTTTTATCCCTTGAATAATGATATACAAACATAAGTTATATACAAAAATTCTATATATAATGGTATATTACATTTATATCCACTCATTAAAAACAAAATTTCATTATTATAATTCATAATTGTAAGAGTATTGTTGTCCAAATTGAAGGTTGTCACATCATTTATGTTTAATCTTATACGAAAATTATATATATGAATATTATCTTTCTATATTTTTTTCTTTTTAAAGTTTACTCTATAATTAGTTATTTATTAATATTTTTGTTGGAGAAAATATTTTAGTGATAACCAAACAGCCAAAAATAAAAAAAAAATAAAAAAAATTGGACAAAATTACCTTACATGAAAAATATTTTATAACAAAACAAACGGAGCCTTATTGTTGAAATCCCAATCAATTTGAGATTAATTTGTTTAACAACTTCTACAAATTGCAAAAAATATACAAATTCAAATTTAGATACTGAACAAATTAAGGTGAATGTTAATTTATTATTTGGTGAATTTTTTTTTTTAAATTATTTATTTATAAATGGGTTACCCCTTGACTATTTATTTAATATAGTGTGTTACAGTTGTAAACCAACTAGTAATACAATGAGCAAAAGAAGAATCATATACCTCAATAGTGATTTCTGGTATGTGTGCAATCTTATACCAATCCTCCCCCTTTCCCTTCTCACATCGCCTTTCCAGTTCACAGCAGTTGATAATGTGCAACGATTGAAGGCCTCGTAGCCCTTCCTCTGGCAAAGACTCGAGCTTTGGACAGTCTATGATCTTCAATGTGACAAGGCTTGCAAGGTCTCCAGGCAACACTTTAAGCTCATAATAATACTCAATCACTAGTGACTCAAGAAGAGTAAGGTTCCTCAGAAACTCTTTTGGAAAACAAACCGTCTTGCCATCATAACCAATAGTGAGGGAAGTGAGACTATTAAGATTTGATATTGAATTTAGTCCCGTGGTGCACTCGCCAACCAACGACAATTCTTTGGGAGCCGAAAGATGCGGGAAGCTCAATTTAGGACAATAAGCAATAATTATCTTACGAAGACGAGGGAACAACTCTCTTCCCTCCTCCCTTGACAAACCTTCCAATTTCGGACAATTGCTAACTGTGAGTTCTTCCAAAGATGGGAATCCTCCACCGCCAGGATATTCGTTTTCAATACACCCCACTACTTTCATTCCAGAAATTTCAAGGCTTTGTAGCAAAGGTAGTTGTCCAAGCGGTGGAAGTTGTAAGCAGTTGTTGCACCCGGAGAGCCGGATATTAACTACATTTTGAAGATCTGAACCCCTCATCCAGAGCGGGAATTGAGTACCTATGTACCCGCTTATGTCCAACTTCTTTAGGTTTGGATGAGGTTGAAGGGCTTCAAGTACTAGCTGAGATTTAACATTTTCCTGTGATTCACATTCAGCAAAACCATATGCCCAATTTAGTTGCAACTGACTAAGATTTTGCATTCCCACTAAATTGGCTTCTTTTGCATCCATCGGATTTCTCACTGTCTCAAGGTGCCAGATACAAAGTTCTCCTTGAAGGTTTAAGCATTTCAATTCAGCTAGGAGACTACAATCAGTGCTCTTACCCACAACAAATTTATTTAACGTCTTCAGGTTAGTTAGCTGCCCAATTTTTGGGGGCATCTCAATTAACGGACACCCTGACAGAAAAAGATGCCGGAGACTTCTCAGGTACATCATGTTCTGGGGCAATCTCTCAAGATTGCGACAGTGTTCTAGGATTAATGTTTGCAAATTCAAGAGATTACAAATTGAATCAGGAAGTCGCATGAAACCAGAACGGGAAAGGTTCAAATACCTCAAATGTTTTGAGTTGCCAATTGAAGGTGGCAACTTTGCCACTCTGTCCGGTGCATCAAAAGCTCGCAGTGAACCAAACATTCTGAAATCAAACAAAAATAAGTCATCCAGGAATAAGCAATATGAACGTTGTTGTCGTAATGTCCGTAAGGATACAACTTTGTGAAATGTGATATGAAAATTTTCCTTACGCCCGGGAACCAATGTTAGATGATGAGCTTTTCCGTTGTATATATTACTTGATCTGTTAAACTCGATCATTTGACATTCACCCTTCATAATTGATTGGGCAAGATCGTGCACGAGATCATGCATCTTGAAATATACATCACTTCCGTAGTCCTTCACCTCTTGGAAAAAAGATACCAAACATAATTCATTCCAAATCTGATCACCAATATCTTCCGGTTCCCATCCTCCTTTGCATGAAATATAGCCATTAGCCATCCAAAGATGAATTAGGTCTCTCTTTCGAATTTGAGAACCCTTTGGGAAAATGGCACAATAAGCAAAACATTGTCTTGATTCCAATGGAAGATAAGAGTAACTTAATCTTAAGGCAGGCAAGATGGAATTTTTGTCCTGGGGTAATTTCCAAATTTCACTTTCCTTAACATGAAGCCACTCTTTTTCCTCACTTTTGAAGCGCATTAGCCCTCCGAGGGCCTTCGCAGCTAAAGGCACACCCCCGCACTTCTTCACTATCTCCTTCCCAATGGTGACAACGTTTGGGCGTTCTTCATTTCCAAGTCCAAATGCTCGTTGCCTGAACAACAACCAACAATCTTCTTTGGATAAAACTGACAAGCGATAAGGTGAAATAGTTCCCATGATTGATGCAACCTTATCAACACGAGTAGTGACAATAACGGAAGCACCTTTTGATCCACATCCTAGTGAATACTTGAATGCATCCC